ACCATCTAGATCAAATTTAATTACAATAATGAGATAGTGTTTAGAATTGTGATAGCAACTGTTTTTTAAAGTATTTTAGCTTGGAAATATATTAAAGTAATTTTTTTATTTTTTAAATTTTATTTTTGATATTAGTACACCAAAATAATTTAAAAATATTTTAAAAAATTATTTAAAAAAAACACGGTATTATCACATAAGCAAACTCGCCTTAACAATTCTATAAAACCTAAAAAAACTTTAATTTTTAAAAATTATTAATCCAACCCGCAATGTATTGCAGGACAGAAAACTATTACTATACTATTTGCATAAGATAATTAATTTTGCTAAATAAACATATTTCTTCAATTCATTTACTTCGGTCTCCTTATAGAACAGTATTTGTAATTACATAGTGAGAAAGTATTTGGTAATGCAGTTAAAACTATATTTTAAAAAAATTAATTTTTTTAAATAATTTTTTTATATTTTTAAATTATTTTAATGTAAAAAATTACTTTTTAAAAAAATATTATTTTGATATATTTTATAAAAAAAAGATATTTTAAACCTCAATCACTACCACACTTACAAACACCCTATAAATGCTTATAACTAGTAACTGCACACAAACACCCTATAAATGCTTATAACTAGTAACTGCACGGTTAGTCACATATTATTAAGGGATCATTTAAAAACGTGATCTAGCTCGTGTTTTCAAAAAAATAAAAATAAAATTAATATGTTTTAATATTTTTGGATCTTTTTGATGTTTTGATATATTAATGTAAAAATTAATTTTTAAAAAATAAAAAAATTATTTTAATATATTTCTTAATAAAAAATACTTTAAAAATTAACCATAACAAATACACCGTTTATTTTTTGTATTTATGAAGCATTTTTTATTTTTTTTCTTTTAAATTATTGTTTTTATAATCTTAGACTGAGAAATCACTGCATTTATGCTGCGCCTCCCCTGCTATAAATGTAAGACTTTCCAAAATACAAGAAAGCAACAAACTGTACAGCACTCAACGCAGCTAGTAGCCAGTAAAAGTAATCAAGATGTGCCCGATTCAGGTTATTGGCAAACCAGCTATAATGACCTTCCCCACCGGTTGCTTTATCAATGATGGAGATAAGAAAGCTGCTTAGAAAGTTTCCCACGCCGATGACACTGAGGAAAAGAGCAAGACCCACGCTCCTTAATCCACTTGGGACCTGATCATAGAAAAATTCTTGCATTCCAATCATGGTGAACACGTCAGCAGCACCGAGCAAGACATTTTGAGGAATTAGCCACCAAGCACTCATGGGAATCGTCACCTCTGGCGTATCCACTAGTCCATATTGCTGAGCTTTCTTGAGCCTCTTCACTTCAACTAGAGCAGCGACTACCATGGCAAGAAAAGATAAATATACCCCAGTACCGATTCTTTGTAGCATTGTAATGCCAGAAGGTTCCCCAGTTAAAGCCCTGGCTACAGGGACGAAGGCACGATCGTAGATTGCAACTAAAACAACAACCGTGGCAGGAATAAATAATTGAACTGAAGCTGCAGGAAATTCGAGATCTGCTAAAACTGATCTATTCATGGTTATGGCTTGCCTAGTAAACAAAGTTGCGGGCTGTGCAAACACAATTGCATATATCAAGCACGTTGTCCATATCGGAACAAGCCTAAGCACTGCCTTGGCTTCTTCTACTTCTCTGAGGCTACAAACCTTGCTGTCTCCCTTCGAGTCATTAGGGTCAAGCAGGGCTTTGTTCAGAAACCTGCCACATTGGAAAATCGAAAATTGCATTCTTAGAAAGTGAAAGTTTAGCTAAATTTTTGTTGCTTCACCCCTCAAAAAACAAGGTTCCCGCTGGCTAAATATCATGTTTTTTTTTTATTTGACAATTACAGGTAGTTGAGCATCTGCAGGCCCCTTTGAGACTCTGCAACTAATCAACCATGGCTTGGGACTTTGATACACCAGCCTCTGATGAACTTTTGCATCTGTTTATCCCTGGTCACTGGTTAAATATCATGTAGTGGACAACTCTATGAAGTGATAGAGTAAGGGTTTATCTGCATTCTGCAGGATAGGAATGTTACATTTATTTGGTATTAAACGTATTCTGATTTAATAAATTATGGATTTGTCTGCCTACCAGATTGAGAATGCTTTAACAAATCATAATGGTTTTTACCGAGTATTTCAATGGATGCTTCATTGATAACATTAAGCACAAGAAAACCTTGACATTTCGAATTAAAAAAGGCTTGTACTTCCAAAAGGCTCTTGATTTATCACAAAACTTCTTTCTGGTTGAGGTATCGTTAATATTCGCTTCTATAAAAATTCTGAAAAAGTCGTAACGTTAGTTCTCTCTTGCTTGAATTGCCCAGAACTTTGGTGAGGTTGGGCTCTGTGAGTTTCTTCTTCAAAGGCTACTGCAGTAGTGATTCGCCAATTCCTAAAAGTCGCAACAAAGACCCGACCGACTCCCAAAAACGCGTGTTTCTCTTCTTCCCTTCTGATACTATACCGATATGTCCTAGTTCCAAGTAAAAATATTGCAAGTGCCCCAGCCAAAATAAGACATGGGATCCCAAATCCCAGACCCCAATTAATGTTGTCTTGGATGTAGTTTAAGGCCGGTAGGACTACTATGAGGCCAGCATTCATAAAAAAATACCACCAATTGAAGAACGAGCTTTTGGCTTTGCGCTCCTCAGGGTCTTGTCCATCAAACTGATCAGCTCCAAAAGCCTGAACACAAGCCCTGAATCCACCTTGTCCAATTGCTACTAGATAGAGAGCAAAGAAGAACAAAATCAGAACTGGATCAGGAGAGCACGACCTGGCAGTATCGGAACTTTGGCAGCCAGAAGAACCGAGAGCAGGAAGAACAGCTGATAGAGCCAGCAAGCCAAGTCCCTGTGAATTGAGATTACGTTATAGATGCCCTTATGTTCAGACTATCATGAACAGTTACGTTAGCAAATATTAGACAATCACAAGCAAACTGTCACGCCTCTGGGAAAAAAAAACCAGGAGAAAGAAAATCTAAATACTTACCAAGATGTAGATAAGCGTAGAGACAACAATGGTTCTGTATCTACCAATGAAAGAATCAGCAACAAATGCACCTAACAAAGGCAGTAACCATGCTGTTCCAGACCAAACATTCATGTTCTCTGCAGCAGTAACCGTTGACTGTCCTAAGGGCCCTGTCAAATACGTTATTAAGTTCCCTGCTATCCCATGATATGCAGACCTCTCTGCAACTTCCACAACTGCATGCGCAGACTAGCTGGGTTAATTTACATCAAACTAAATACCAAATATCTTTTGAGTGATGTTTAGTTTGGCTACCAGCACATACCTATAATAAAAAGTGTGGATTTCCATCCTCCAGAATTGAATCTGTAAACCGGACGGCCTTTGTAGTCAACAGAGTCTTCCACAGGGTTGTCCAATAACAGCGGAGTTTCGATGGCCATATCTTTCTGCTAGCACCATCCACACCTGACACCACCGCTCTCGATAATCGATACAGTGTTTAAAATCCTATCTTAATGTCAGCCATTATTGATGGGCATGGGCTCACCATTTCAGTGCTCTTCCACGTATTAAAATAATTTAAAAAAAAAACTTAAATTTTAACGATTTCTATTTAAAAAACAATCCTAAAAGCACACTAAGGCTGGGCATCGCACCGCCGCCGCCAGATATATGCGCCCTGTTTGCATAGCACAGCCTTCTAGGTTCATTTTCTATTTTTCTTCTTTCTCTCTTTTTTTTCTTTTTTTTTTTAATTATGGATTTTTATTTGGGAAAGAGATTAACAAATCTAAGGCTAGCTTGAAATATTAATTAAAAAAAGACTAATGCAGGCTATTCACGCGTCATCATCCTGCACGCCACTATTCAGGAGGCATACGAGGAGTATTCTGGTGGCCTAAAACTGTTGATTACCATCTCATCCGATGCATAAGGTAGTGGTGCACGTCTTGGAGTGGTGTGTTTGTTCTGACTGATAGCAGTTCAGTGGCAATTGATTTGTTTCTCCTCTCTTTTTTTCTTTCTTATGAGCTTGCTTGATATTTATGCGGAGTTTTTAAAAAATCGTGTTATCTAAATTGTATTTATTTTAAATTTAATTTTTATTATTTTAATTTTTATTTATTTTAATTTTAATGTTTTTTAAAATGTTTTTCTTTTTAATTTTATCCCTTAACATTTAATTTTTATATCCAATTAAGTCTTCATTTTTTTAATCGTAATTTTTTAATTCTTAATATTTTTTTTATTTTTTATTTTAGAATTTTTTTTTGTCCTTCAAAATTTTATTTAATTTTCAATTTTAATCTTTATTTTTTTATTGCTCTTATTTTATTATTTTTTCATTTATTTTTTTAATTTAATTCTTAATTAGTTTCTTTCAATTATTTATTGGGCAAGATTTAGTTTTTATTATTTTAATTTAAATTTTTTATTTTATTTTTTTATAATTAAAAATTTTACTTTATAATTTTTACTTTATAATTTTTTCATTCTTTTCATTCGTAAAGTAATTTCAATATCATGATCCAATTTACCAGTTTTGAATTTTATAATTTATTTTTATTTTATTTTTATAAAATTTTCTTTATTTCTCATCTTGAATTAATTTAAATTAACTTAATTTTTTTAAAATTATTTTTTATAATTTTATCATTTATTATTTAATCCCCAAACATTATGATCTTTCACGCCGGTCAAGTTAAAAAGCTTGTTTTTTTTGTTTAAATTAACTTGAAATTTTTTAAGTCTTTTTTTAATAATTTTTAAATCCCAATCTGATATTGGATCTTACAGGCTTATAAAATAAGGTTTGTGGTTTTTTTTAGTTTTATTATTTAAAAAATATCCTAATCTAATATCCGGATAACATGAAATTAACCTAAATTGATTTTATTATTGTCTAAACATATTTATTTATTTTTATAAAAAAATTAACCCGGCAGGCCACCACTGTAGTTCGAAACAACTATGCACCAATTGAAATAGACAAATACTTCCAAGTATTCTGATATCCAAAATTTTGCACTCAGTGACTACAATGTCCTCCAAAAAAAAATCCAACAAGCGACAACATAAAAACAAGCTCATCACTGAACTCATCGGTAACGACGAAGGGAGAGGGTGTTGTTTCTCTTCCAGTTTGCCCGGCGAGAGGGTCGAGCTTTGTGGTGCAAGTGTCCCCTGCCACGTAGACCTCTGTATTTCTTCCCAGCAGAGGTAAGGCCACGGAGCTCCCTGTGCTTTTGGACAGGATTGCAGAGCCAGTTGATTCTTGGGTCATTGCGGATGGCATTGTGGGCAACATCAACCAAGATTACCTCAAAGTACTTGTAAGTAGAATCCTGCATTGAAGACAATGCATTACTAATGCAAGTGAAGAGATAACAGTGAGAAAGTACAACTCTTAGGTAGGCTACGACTTGTGGTGAAAGTGACGAGTGAAATGAGACACATTCAAACTTAGCTCCCGAACCTCATTAATCCAGTATGAATTGAGAACCCTGAGACCCCCCAATTTCCGACCAGCACGCTCCTCTGCTACAGACCTCTTGCTTCGTTGAAACTTCAGTTGAGTAACACCCTGGTTTGTGGGCTTACCATATACAATACCCTTCGGAACAGGCCTCTTCCTCCCACCCCGCCTAACACGGACACGATAAACCACATAGCCCTAAAAGAAACAAACTACTTTCATTATCCATACAGATGTGCAAAGCAATAGACTTTTTTTTGTGTGTGGCAGCCATGCGCACTTCATCAAGTAAATATTAAGATGAGCTAAAGGAAAACGGGTAAGAATAGCAACTTTAATAGCTTGATTAAACAATGGTGCTACTGATCTCCATTTTTATATCTTCAACGTTGTAAGCAATCACCTAACTATCAAAATCACAAATTCTTAGTGTTCCATTAGAAGACAAACTGAAAGTTTGAACAGAACAAGTCAAGCAAAAATCAAACTTAATAATTTAACATCCAAGCAATTTCTTCTCAACCAACTAGGAGAACAAATTCAAGACATCAATAACAACAAATCCAGAATCCTATCTGATCGAGACAAAAATAATTTGACTACAGGAGAGCCCATTTGCTCGGATGATCGATTATTTTGATATTGCAGGTATCAGGAAGCATTCCACAACTGTAAGTAGACACTCTCTCGGGCAGGAATGAATATGCATCAAGAAGCTACTTAACCAGCAAGAATCACACAATGGAAATGAGAAACCTCATTGTTCAGAAACAACAACGTTAAGACAAGCACAAGCTGATTATGTCTATCAACATAGTGGCACAGAATTACACACATCGACCAAAACAAACTATGCCCCCTAAAACTTTGTGCCATAATCATCATAAACAGTAAATCTCGCACCTTAATCAGAAATAAAAACTTGAAATAACATACGAAGAAATAATTCTTTCATATTTAATGACTCAAAAAAAGTGTTACCTGCTTGGCCTTATAGCCCAACCGGCGAGCCTTGTCAGGGCGTGTGGGGTGCTTGACACGAACAATTGAAGGATGCTGACGGTACTCCCAGCACCTAACCCTTTGCAAAAACCTCATCACATCCGATTGTTTCTTCCTCCATAGCTCAGATACGTACTTGTAAGCCCCTATTTACATAAAGCCCACAAATAAAAATAAAAAAAAAACTTAAGCTCTTCACCACATGCTTACAAAATCTCTAGATTGAAGCAAAAACTTAAGCTCCTTATTTTCTGTGAAAATGAATTTATGTAATAACTACAAAGGTAATAGTTAGCTGATACAAAAGGAGAGATTTGCATTATTCATAAGTGGAAAAAACAAAAGGGTTAGTTTAGAGAGAGAGAGTACCCATTGGATCAGAGTAGATCAGCAACGGTGACTGGACGGCGGGGGTGACTGGGGTTTTTAGTTTACAAGATTAAAGGGGAGGGTTTGGCTTGGATCAGTGGAGAAAACATAAACCCTAGTATCAAAGCAAAAACTGCACAAACGAAATCTTGGCCGTTCATTTCTTTTTCTTGTTAGATATTCTTTTGTTCTGGTGGCCGAGCCCATTAATAGACCTAACCCATTGGAAAAATGGACAGGCCTCTCCTTGGTGTCGTACTGCCTGTAATGGGCTTGGGGCAAACACCCATAGCCGAGCAAGACCCAGATCATCATTTTGCTTAGAGTTAAAAAAATAAAAATAAAATGTATGAATTATTTGTTTATTTTTTAAGCTCAAGATTCATAAATATTTAAACCAAAAGAATATAATTAATATAAAAAAACGCCATATAATTTTTCAATGTTAGGTGAGGTGTCAATGTTAGGTGAGGTGGTAAATAGTATACATATGTTGTCTATTTTTTTCTAATTAAAATAACTAGAAAATTATTTTAGCAAGTTCTTGAAAAAAATTATTGTCACATGTTTAATCTCTAAAATAATAAGTTCTGAATATTTTGTTGTTTTTTAAAGTAAAGTAATATAATGATTATACTTTATGACATTTTAAGGAAATATTAGGCGTGATTTTTTTTAAGATGCATGTAGTACACAAAATGTATGAAGAAATTAAAATATAAAAAATTGGTGATGTTATATTAAAAAGATAGTTAAGAAGAAAACTTATTAAAAAAATTTAAATAATTGATTGTGTATTAAAAATTTAATATATATTATTCATTGACTTATATTTTAAATATGTGTTTTTAAAGAGTATAATGAATGACCAGAATAAAAAAAAAAAAAAAAACAAGGTAATTTTCTTGAAATGGTGAAACTTTTAACATAATACAATAAACAAGTAAGTGTTCTTGTTTGGGTAATACTCCACAAAATAATAAACACACCTTAAATCAAATTCCAATAGAAATTTTACATATTTTTACTAGAAATGTTCAATCTTTAATTTGTCATAAGATTGATAATGTAAAATCTTGTTTAATTATTGATAAAGCTTAAGATAAATCCAAAATAGAGCAAATAACCCTTGTTATTAGGTTTGTTGATAAAAGTAAATTTATACAAAAACAATTTTTAGATATGGTTCATGTTCAAGATATAACCACTTTAACTTTTAAGGAAAAAATTTCCTTTGTCTTATCTCATCATAATTTTAATGTAAAAAATATTAGAAGTTAAGGTTACAATGATGGTACTACTAATATACATGAAGAGTGAAATAGTATGTAAGTTTTATTCGTCAATGGTTATTCTTATACATATTATGTATATTACTTAGCTTATCAATTACAATTAGTTTTTATTGCTATAGTTAGATAAGTTCATACTTTCTTTCAGAATTTTATTTTTAGTGTTAACATTGTTAGTGCTTCTTGCAAATATAATGATAAATTATGGGGTTTTCAAGCAAATTGAATATTTAGTTGATATTGATGAGATTAAAACAAGTAAATAAACTAATTAAATAGTTGGTTTGCAACAACCTAGAGATATAAAAATATAGTTCACACTTTAAATTAATTTGCAGTTTGATAAAAATATATAAGGCAACTTGCTTGATTTTTAAAAATATTTCTTTAGCTAAATTTATTTATTCTCAAAGTGGTGATTCAACCTTTTTATTTAAGCTATTAATATCATTTGATTTTACATTCGTTTTGCATATAGTGAAAAATATTATAGAAATTATTGATGTGTTTTGCCAAGCTTTGCAACAAAAACCTTAAGACATTGTAAATCTTATATATTTGATGACTATTACAAAAGCTTTAATTCAAAAGTTAAGAGATAATTGTTGGAAAAATCTTTTAGAAGAAGTGACATCATTTTTTAAGCATCAAAACATTAAAGTTTTTTATATGAATACTTGTTTTTCTAATGTGGGAAGATCTTGTTGTAAAAACAATTATACATAATTAAGCATCTTTATCGAGTTGATATATTTAAAGTTATTATTGATCAACAACTACAAAAGCTAAATAATAGATTCAATAAGCAAGCGATCAAGCTTTTTTAATTTGAGCATAACTTTTGATTTTAAAAATAACTATAAATTATTTAGTGTTGAAGATATATGCTTATTTGTTTACAAGTTCTATCCTGAAAAGGTTTTTTACCAAGAAATAATTAATTTGAGATTTAATTAAAAAATATATCGTGATTGCTAATTTATGTCAATGATTGGTTGAAATTAAAAAATCAACAATTTATCCACTTATTGACAAGTTGATTCTATTTATTTTGATTCTTTTTATTTCGATACTAAACAAGCTTTATAATTATTTAAATTGAACAAGTTTTTTTAATAATGAAGATTGTTAAAATAAAACATTGCAATTGGATAAAGAATAATTTTCTTGCTAATTATTTAATTATTTATATAAAAAAATTACTGAATCATTCACAATTGATATGATAATCAATTATTATTATTATTATTTATTAGTATAGAGATCATTATATACTTGTAGTAAATTTTTAATATAAAACTAAATCAGTTTTTAATATAAAACTAAATCATGGATTATTTTTTTTGACAATTCATGTTCAATAAATTAAAAATATGTATTATATCTTGTTAAATTAGTATTGCTCCCCTAACAAATAATCCTAAAAATATATTATATCATGTTAAATTAGTACTGCTCCCATGACAAATAATCCTAGCTCAGCTCCGCTCCGCTCCTGCTTGCTCATGTGAACATCAAATTGGTATGATCGATTATCATTCTCAAAGTGATTGTAAGGAAATGGCTGTACATTTGCTATAGAATTAAAAATTTACAAAACAAATTCACATTTGACATAGAATGAGAGTAAGGAACAGTGCTTTTATATGGTGCTTCCCCTCTTATAAATGTAAGATTTTGAAAAATACAAGAAAGCAACCAGCTGAACAACACTTAAGACAGCTAGTATCCAGTAAAAGTAATCAAGGTGAGCCCGATTCAGGTTATTTGCAAACCAGCTATCATCACCATCCTTACCAGTTGTCTTGTCAATTACAGAGATGAGAAAGCCGCTCAGAAAGTTTCCTACGCCAATGACACTGAGGAAGAGAGCAAGACCTACACTCTTTAGTTCACTTGGGACCTGCTCATAGAAGAATTCTTGCAGACCAATTATGGTAAACACATCAGCAGCTCCGAGCAAGACAAGTTGAGGAATTAACCACCAACCACTCATTGGAATCGTCACATTTGGCATATCAACTAGTCCGTGTTCCTCAGCAGTTTTGAGCCTCTTCATTTCAACTAGGGCAGCAACTACCACGGCCAGAACAGATAAGAATAACCCAGTTCCAATTCTCTGAAGCATTGTAATGCCAGAATGTTCCCCAGTTAATCTCCTTGCTACAGGGACAAAGACACGATCATAGATAGGAACTAAAACAACAGCTGCCAAGGGAATTGATAATTGAATTGAAGCAGCAGGAAATTCAAGACGTTCTGAAATTGATCTATCCATTGTTCTTGCTTGCTTAGTAAAGAAAGTTCCCACCTGTGAACCCACAGTGGCAAACATCAAGCAGCTAGTCCATATAGGAACAAGCCTGAGCACTGCCTTAGCTTCTTCAACTTCTCTAGGGGTACAGGCCATCCAGCTATCCTCTGAGCCATTGATTTCAAGCAGAGCTTTATTAAGGAACCTGTCACATTTGCAACTTCTCCATTGTAAGTATTTATCTGCCATCTAAATCGAGCTTTTGGGTTGGATGCTTTAACAAATTATAATGGTTTTACTAGCATTTCAAAGGATACTTCATAGGAATCGCTAATATATCATTCATGAAAATACTTCTTGCCAGTTAAGGCCTTAATATTCAATTGTATAAATTTAATTCTGGACAAAGTTTGCAGCATGAGTTCTCTTACTCGAATTGCTCAGAATTTTGGCGAGACACGATGCAGCTAGCATCTTCATTGAAAGATACTGCAGGAGAGATTCGCCAATTCTTAAAAGCTTTAACAAGGACTCGACCAATTCTCAGAAACGGATGTTCCTCCTCCCTTCTGATACTATACCTATACGTCTTGGTTCCAAGAAGGAAAATTACAAGGGAAACAGCCATAATAACACATGGGATTCCAAATCCGAAACCCCAATTAAGGTTGTCTTGGATATAGTTTAAGAACGGCAGGATCACTATTACGCCAGCATTCATACCAAAATTCCACCAATTGAAGAATGAACTTCTGGATTTGCGCTCCTCAGGGTCTTGCCCATCAAACTGATCAGCTCCGAAGGCCTGAACACAAGGCCTGAACCCACCCTGTCCGAATGCTACTAGATAGAGAGCAAAGAAGAACAATATGAGACTTGGATCAGGAGAGCACAACTGGATAGTATCGGCACTATGGCAGTCATTAGCACGGACAGAAGGAAGCACGGCTGATAGAGTCAACAAGCTGAGTCCCTGCGAATTGAGATTAAATTCCATACACCTAACCAAGCTAGTTGCATAAATATCATAATTTTTTATTCTTTCAAGCTCAAATAATTTTGGATGGCAACCTTATATATCAGGTTGAATATAATTTTATTAACTCTGAGAAATTCATTTCCCTTGAATTTGATTCTTTCAAGCTCAAATACGATCATACATATCAGAAAAGCTAGGGATATACCAAGATATACATAGATGCTGCGACAATAATGGTTCTGTATCTGCCAAGGAATGAATCAGCTACAAAGGCACCTAACAAAGGCAGCAACCACGCTGTTCCCGACCACAAGTTCAAATTCTCCGCTGCCGTAACCGTGGACTGCCCTAAAGGCCCCGTCAAATACGTTATCAAGTTCCCTGATATCCCAAAATAAGCAGACCTCTCTGCAACTTCAACACCTGCATCATTTTCTTTATTAAATCAACCAGAGGACTTTCCTTTTGAATCAGTACCAGTCAAGACCGATCAGTAGATTGTCCGAAGTCAGGTACTAATTAACAATCTTAATTGACTGATTTAATCAATAACGCCAATAAACACTGGCATAATAATACTGCTATATTAATTACCTATAATTAAAAATGCGCATTTCCATCCACCAGAATTGGAGAAGCCTTTGTAGTCAACTGAGCTATCGACGGCACAGGGCAAGAGTAGTGGAGTTTCGGTGGCCATTTCTAGCAGCCTCAGACTCTGAGAAAAATGTTCTCTGCCTGTGCTTCTCCGTCTCCGTCTCCGTGTCAATCATATAAAGTTACACAGGTAGAAATCTCACTTTCCTTGTTCTGCTGACACGTCGCATTCAAAGGCCCTTGCTCCGCTTATAGAATAAATTATAATTTAGTCCCTGATCTTCTTACATGTTGGTCCTTTTAGTTTTCTGTTCATATATAAGTCGCTTGACCAAAGGCGACGGTTTATTAATTTTTTAAATTTAAGATTCCCCGATTTCATAGGATTTTTTTTTTTAATCCTGCTTGTATTAGTTGGGATTAAAAGAGACTAAAAATAATTATTTTAATAAATATTTCAAGAATTAAATAATAATTAAGTTGATGTATACAGTCTAACTAATTATTTTTAAAATCCTACGAAATTACATGAATAAACTATAGCCATCCTAATATGTTTCGTGTTGATGGAGAAAAATGTCTGAGAAAATTACAGTTGCAGGGAACAAATACCACCATGTCCATGTAAGCTTCTAAAGTCCAGGATAAAATGAGACGATTGAAAACTTAATTATTTGGAAATATGGTGTGAATTATGTTTTATAAAAATTTTAATTTTTTTTATTAAAACTTAATTTTTTATATAGTTTAGATCGTTTTAATGTCTTAATTTAAAAAATAATTTTTAAAAAAATAAAAAAAATATTATTTTAATGTATTTTAGTATGAAAAGCATTTTAAAAAACAAATACAACTACACTCCTAAACAAATTCAAATAAAAAATAACAAAAACAATTATGAAAATAATAATAATAAAATAAACTAAAATTAAAAAGTGAAGAATACTTAAATTAAAGAGTGCATAATATTGTAATTCTAAACTCCACTCAAATGACACTTTGAATTATAATAATAATAAATATTAAAGTTATGCCTCTCATGATAATAACATATTTAGCTAGGCTAGCGAGGTTCTAGCCCAGCGGTAGGAGGGGTTTGTCCCCTTTTTTCGCACCTGGGTTCGAGTCTTATCGTGCACGTCGGTCATCCTCGCGGTGCCTTACCTGCTCACTGAGCTTGCAGGATGTTCAGTGGGCCGTGGGGATTAGTCGTGGTACGCGTAAGCTGGCTCGGACACCCCACATAAATAATAAAAAAAAAAGATCTAGCTGATAAGGTAATAATATCTTTTATAATTTTTTAAACCATAAAATTATAAAATTATTCTTAGAACCAAACAATTTAGAGCTGTTTCGGCTTTTTCTAAATAAATTAAAAATATACAATGAATTAAAAAATTATAATTTATTTATTTATTATTAAGTGTGGTTGGGGGACATATTCGCAATTTACTATATAATAAATATTATTAAAAGAAAAATTGGCTGACATATTCATTGTAGGTGTCAATTCGTGAATGTGGCCGCCGTCCATGGACAAGACATGATTTACAAAATCATCAAAACCACAGGAATAAAGTTATAATTTGCTCTTCATAGTTTATACAAAAGGGTCTTTGGTATAATAAAAAGGTTCATAACAGTTAACGAGATCGCTGTGTCTCTGCTGAAAACATAAATTACTAGTTATATAAAGCTCATAGTTTCTGCTATCTGTTCATAATGCATGGATGGAAGTAATCTTTTCTGCTGTGATGTGAATTTCAATGGATGATGTTTTTTGCCTTTATGAATACAACTGCAATCCCTTTTGGCATAAACAGGATTGAAAGGCAGGTCATGATTTTACAAAGCAGACGATGGTTTGTTTTCATTCATAAAGATATGAAAAGAAATGCAGGTTTTTTCTTTTCTTTTTCATTCTGCAGGTAAGAATCTTCCGAAATGAGTGATCGTCTTAGGAAGAATTTTGCAAAATACGAGTGAAAATTTATCTAGTGCCTTCCCTGTTATATATGTAAGACTTTGAAAAGAACAGGAAAGCAACTAACTGTGCAACACTTAGCCCGGCCAGTAGCCAATAAAAGTAATCAAGATGAGCCCGATTCAGGTTATCAGCAAACCAGCTACCATGACCATCCCCACCAGTTGCTTTTTCAATGCCAGAGATAAGAAAACTGCTTAGAAAGCTTCCTACGCCGAAGATACTAAGGTAGAGTGAAAGACCGACACTCCTCAATTCACTTGGGACCTGATCGTAGAAAAATTCTTGGAGACCAACCATGGCGAAAACATCAGCAGCTCCATACAAGATATATTGTGGAACTAACCAGCAAACGCTCATTGGAATTGTTGAATTTGGCAGATCAACTAGTCCATATTCACGAGCAGTTTTCAGTCTCTTCATCTCAACAACGGCAGAAAGTACCATGGACAGAGCAGATAAAAATATCCCAGTTCCAATTCTCTGAAGCATTGTAATGCCTGAAGGTTTCCTGGTTATAGCTCTTGCCGTTGGAACAAGGACACGGTCATAGAACGGAATAAGAAAAACAATGGAAAGGTAAATGAGGGATTGAAGTGATGCCGCAGGGACATCAAGACCTGATGAAATCGATCTATCCATAGTTGCTCCTTGCTTAGTAAAGAAAGTCGAGGACTGTGCAAAAACAATACCATATATCAAGCATGTAGTCCATATGGGAACAAGCCTAAGTACTGCCTTAGCTTCTTCAACTTCACCAATGCTACAAACTTTCCCGTCTTCCTTTGAGCCATTTGGGGTAAGCAGGGCTTTGTTGAGAAACCTAATTAACACATCAGAAGATCCGAAATTTGTGGATCAGCACAACTCATTTTATGCACTGATATAAGAGCTTTTTGTTCTGAACCATGATAAGATGTTCTGTTCTGTTCTGTTGTTGTGCGAGCAGACATGAACCGACACCCTTTTGGTGACAATAAAGCATCTAGTAATCCTATTTAATGAACTAGCTGTTTCCCTTACAAGTCACAGCATAAGATATTCTAAAATTGAAGAAAATTCTCTCACAAACTCCTGAATTTCACAGTTCAAGCGACTGGCAGGGCACAAGTCAACAAATAATCTTCTTTGTTGAATGCCATAAGTAACACGAATCAAACACAACTAAGATGCTTTGTACATCACGTTGGTGACAGGAGTCTCACATCGTGGTTTAGCACAGTTAACCTAGCTATTGCTTTTGCGTTGTGTTCTTTATCAAACCTTACCGGAGATTGTAGGTACAAGCATGGGTGAGCCTACTGTATACCTCTATGTTTAGCCCCAGCCCCCAACTTTTAAAAAATGTCATATACATCCTCTTTTGACTCTCTCTGCATCTATAGCTCTTAGGTGTCCCCGGAAGACAAAATTACCACAGGGGATACAAATTTTCTCATGGCAGCTTAAAAAAGTTGTAACAGAGCTCAATATTTTAATGTTTATGATATTCGAGATTTTGATAATCGTGAATGATTAAAGCTTAGAGAAGGTTTTTAATGATTCTAAATCTTCTCGGCATATTGATAAGTGTATATCACTTCTATTGTTCTAGCTGAAAACGTAAAAAACTTGGAAAATGGTTTGTCTTACTTGAATTGCTCAGAACGTTGGTGAGGTACGATGCCAAGAGCTCCTTCCCTGAAATCTATGGCAGAAGAATTAGTTCGCCAATTCCTTGCAGCTTCAACAAATACCTGGCCAATTCTCAGAAATGCACTTCTCTCTGCCGTTTTGATACCATACCTATATGTCTTGGTTCCAAGTAAGAAGACAATAAGTGCACCAACCATTATAATACATGGGATTCCAAATCCAAGTCCCCAATTAAGGTTGTCTTGGATGTAGTTCAAGATTAACAGCGCTATCACCATCCCTGAATTCATAGAAAAATACCACCAATTGAAGAATGAGCTTTTGGCTTTGCTTTCCTCGGGATGTTGCCCATCAAACTGATCAGCTCCAAAAGCCTGAACACAGGGCTTGTGACCTCCTTGACCAATTGCTACGATATAGAGAGAAAAGAAGAATACAATTACTTGTCGGTGATCAGGAGAGCACAAGCCGATAGCATCAGCAGTTTGGCAGCCAGAATCTCTAGAAGAAGGAAGCACTGCTGACAGAGTCAACAAGCTCAGTCCCTGTGGTTAAATCAGAGAGAATCAAACTCCATCTTATGACCCAAGGGCCTGAAATGAATCAACAATATGTATAGGGACAGAACGTGAGTTTGTATTACCAAAATGTAAATACAAGAAGCAACAACAATAGTCCTGTATCTACCAAGGAAAGAATCAGCAATAAATGCGCCTAACAGAGGAAGTAACATCGTCGTTCCTGACCAGACATTTACATTCTCTGCAGCAGTAGCAGTTGACTGGCCAAGCGTTCCCGTCAAATAAGTTATCAAGTTGGAAGATATCCCATAATACGCTGACCTCTCTGCAACTTCCACACCTGCAAACAGCTTCTGTGTCAATGTTTTGTTGTGTTAATGCTTACCAGAGCAGTTAAATTTTTGTTACTACCTATTATGAAAAAAGCCGATCGCCATCCACCAGAGATGGACCTGTAAACAGGGCTGCCATTGTAGTCAACGCAGCCATCAACAACTTCGTGTAAGAGGGGAGTTTGTGTGTCAGAACTGGGCATGATTGTTATTACACTACAGCTATCCCAGATCCAGCCACAGCACTCGAGATAGAGAGAGCGACGATCGTGTTTCACCATGTACGAGCTGTCAATTATAGGTGGAATGAAATCGAATTGTTGCGTGTTTCTGACCACTCCATTTCATTTATTAATGTTTATCATCATGACCATTATTCATTTACATAGGAATTTACTTCTCTTTCTTTTTTTTTAATTAATGTTTTTAAATTTCATTAATTAATATTAAATATATTTTTTATTGAGTTGTTATACAGGTTATTTTAATTTATTTAAGTTTTTTTATTAATGTTTTTAAATTTAATAACAAGAATTATAGTCTATTATGATATTTAGTTGATATTCAATTTTATTTATTTACTTTTTATATTTGTATATATTTTTGTTTTATTTTTTATGGACTATCATAATTTTTTTAAGTTAAATGCATTGTTATTTTAATTTTTTATTTAAAAAAATCATTTTGATTTTTTATTAATTCAAACCATGTTATTATTGAATTTTTTTAAGTGTCTTTTCTAAATCATCATAAAAAAATATTTTTTTTGGATTTAAACTTGTAATTTTTTTAAGTTTTTTTTATCTTTTTTCAATTTTATTATTAAATATTAGATTTTTTTTATCGAATTTTATTATTTAATGTTGAGTTAATTGCAAGTTAATTTTTATATTTTTAATTTATAATAAATAAAATAAAAAATAATTATTCGAATAACAAATTTAATAAATAAATAAATATTTTTATTTTTTATTTTTAGCAACTCAATTAATAGGATTATATGAAGATAATTCTCACACAAGAATAAACTCAAAGTATTTAAATTTAATTATAGTATGGAATTTAATTAAAAAGTCAAAAAAAATTTGAAAATACAGAGTTTTTTTTTATCACTCCAAATAATTTAGGCAATGAAAGGACGTAAGATAAACTAGCGTGTGCTAAATTTGCTCATTATTATTACTCTTATTATTGGATCTTAATCCTTAGGAAGGTTCTCTCTATCACGTCTCTGGGTTTTTTTTCAATGACCATGACTCTTTCTTTCTTCTTTAATTTCTCTTACACGGCATTATTGACCACTAAAAACAATACACGCGTCATAGCTAGCTTCGTGGGCCAATTTCAGACAAAGCAGTGTTTTTAAATCCGATTCCGTAATACATTTGGTTCAAGATTCACATCATAAAATTTTGATTGGAATAATTTTATTTTTTTATAAATTTAAATAATATTATTTTAATAAAAATAATTAAAAATAATTGATAAAATACAATCAAATTTTATTAAATCATTAAATTAACTGAATTTTTTTATTTTTTATTAATTTAGTTTAATTTTAATCTCAAATCAATTAAGTTTTAAGTTCACATGTTAATTATATCAGACTTTAAAATTATATAATCCTGTAAATTATAATACAAATATTTTTTTATGAGTATTTAGTTAATTTTTAATGTATCATATTAGTTTAAGAAAAATAATAATTATCAATGATAAATTATTATAAAATTATATTTTTAAGTTTGAGGTTTCAGTGATGCTACATAAGGTTTTTTTAAAAATATATATATATATAACTAAATCAGTTTATTTAATTGTTTGAGCGTGTATATAAATTAAAAGATAAAACACACAAAACTTTTGTCAAAGTGCATAAAAGCATTGAATATAAATTGTCAAGTACCAATAGCCCATGAATAACATTAGGGATATAATCGTGTCTTTCCATCCAGTAATATATTTCTATCCAATTGATTTCGAGTAAAAAATTCCTAACGAATTTATTTAATTGAAACTTTAATATTTAATTTGATTAAAAAACCATCTAACCCCTTCGTGAATGGTAATATGGAGACTAAAGATTATATTTATTATAAAAGGAGAAACTAAAAGTATTTAGTAATATGAAAATGTCTATTTTTGTATAGGGTCATGGCTAATTTGATATTTTGATGTTTGATAATAAAATAGTAATTATTTTTTAAAATATACTTGAAAAATCTTTTAAGATAATATTTTTTTGTTTTTAAAAATTTATTTTTTATATTAATATAATAAATAATTTAGAAAATAAAAAAAAATCATAAAAAAATAAATTGAACCAAAGGTTTACCATCGAGGACCGTCGAAACGTACCACTAGATGATTGATAGCTTTTATAGGAAAATCCTCCGACCGCGTATATGACGTGGGTGAGAGAAGCCACAACGGTTTTAGTCTTTTAGATGTCTTCACTCCCTCAATCGGTGTTCTCTACATGAAGCATTGGAGAGATCATAAAAAGAAAACATTATTCTATGGATTCAGGCTCCATGGAACTCAAAGTGATGTATTGTAAAGACGTTAACTCGTTCAATTTCTTCAAAAAACTCTTAGTTTATGTTCTTGTTTCAATCGTGAGAGATGATGATGGTGATGATACTGGTAAAAAACCACTGGGGCTGCAGAAACAGCAACAAAGAACACCCACTGACACAGAAGGAGATGGGAATCCCGAATGGAATCACCAGATGCATTTCGATCTGACCGAGGTTACATTTCAAGACTCTGATCGTTTCTTTGTCCACTTTGATCTCTGTCATGAAGGTCTCTATTTTGGAGACAAAACTATTGGGAAAGTTCGTGTACGCTTGAAAGATTTGATCCAGGAGGCTAATGAAATTGTCAGGTTTTTGAGTTACGAGGTTCGAACTCCAGATGGGAAACCCAATGGGTTGCTAAAATTCTCCTGTAAGGTGAAGAACATGGGGACTTATTCTTCACAAATTGGCATCACTGGGTATCCAATAGTCAATAATCAGCCATATCCAACATCGGAAGTTCAAAATTCATCAGAACAAGCTCATTATCCGACGTTGGATTTGGAAGGTAACTCCCAGGAAACAGACACTGTGTCTCAAGTTAGCTATACATCAGATTGGATACAATATTCCTCCCAAGAGAATTATTATCCACCACCAGAAGCCTATTATCCACCGCCACCGCCACCGCCACCGCCACCACAAGCCTATTATCCACCGCTACCACCACCACCACCAGGGCCACCACCACCGATGGTGGATGGGGCATGGGGATGTAACTGCCCGCCTCAGCCTCCACTGCTCCATAATTGGCCTCCTGGTGCTAATAACTATAGCAGCCATGGGAACTGGAGCCCCACGGCATGCT